CACAGGCGTCTCCTCCCGTTAGTCGTGCCACCAACGATGAACCGAGCAGTAGCGCAACCCGTCCGCGGCCTGCTCTTCCTCAAGTAAAAATCCCTAGCTTCTCGGAACAAACTCGCTTGCAGGGACCTCCGAAGCACAACGCGGATGCCGACGCTCGTTCCCCGTCATCGCATGACGAAACGTGTTCGTCATGCGTACATGGCAAAGGAGAAGCTTCGCTGGTTGAAACTGCAGGAATCGCAGTCGGACTTGTCGAGTCGAGCTCTGGCGAAGCTGGCGAAGGTGCAGCTCGTTTAGATCCGCAAGTGGAAGCAGATAAGGGAACGTCTCGAGGTCGCTTCCGGATACCGCCGTCGCCTCATGGGAGCCGGCCGCAAGGCGAAGTACCTGTTCATGGAACGGGCCGTGTACCGCCAAGTTCTTAAGCACCATGCTAAGGCCCTCGCCGTGTCGGTCAACATGCTGTAGCAGCGGAGCACCAAGTTCATGAAGCATTGGATGCCGGGGGTTAATTGGCGTGCTTCCTTCCGCTGGTCACCTCGTTTCCGCGCACGATGGCACTTGGCATGGCGGGTTAAGACGAAGATGGGGCAGAAGTAAGCAGTGGGTAAGTTGTTAATGAATGAGTGCCATGTTGCCCCCGAGTTTGCGACTAGAGCTCTCTCTGTGCTCTCTCTCCCATGAGCAGATTGCAAGGCTAAGGTCGAGTCGTTTTGGGCGTTCCTAACACGGATGCGCTCTCTCCACGACTACCCTCCTCGACCTGATCATGAACGCGGATCAGACTCCGCTTTTCCTGGAGATTCCGGCGGAGCGTACGATCGAAACGAAGGGAGTGCGGACTGTCCACGTGCGGACTGCGGGCTATGAGAAGGAACGCTTTACTGCCATGCTGGCAGTAATGGCGAGAGGGCTGAAGCTTCCACCGTATGCAGTGTTTAAGAGCAAAACCATCCCCAAACTGCCCATCCCTGCCGGTAAGTGTTCAGAGACGACGAATGTGTCAGAATGTTATTTGTCTAGCCTGCAGTGGGGTGCTCAATAGTGAGTACAACCCCTTAGGGTTTGCTATTTGTGTGTTCTGCTGCTTGCTAGTCACCATTCATTCTTCGTTCCAATTCTCCTTCGTAAACCCTAACTCCTAGTTCTAGAGCACACCCACCTACCTCCTAGTGTGGGCCTAGGCTACTAAGCCTAGGCCCCACACCTACGATTCTAACATGGTATCTAGAGCCGGCGAGATCCTGCCGCCTAGTTCATCGGGCCCACCAACTCCTTCCGCTGTCGTACTATCCGCCGCGCGCCCCGTGGTGCGCGGCATTGCATTTTCTTCCCGCCACGCGCTCCGAACACGTGGCGGCTTCTTCTGCCCGCCGCGCGCTCGGGGCGCGCGGCGGTTATCCCGTCCGTCGAAGCGTCCTTGGGGGGGCCTGCGCGCTGCCCTCCCTGCTGCTCGTCGCGACGCCCGTGCGGGACCCGCGGGGCGTCGCCCTTACTCGTCGCGGCGCCCCCTGGGTGCTGCCCCTTCTCGTCGCGACGCCCGTACGGGACCCGCGCAGCGTCGCCCTGCTCGTCGCGACGTCCGTGCGGGACCCGCGGGGCGTCGCCCCTGCTCGTCGCGACGCCCGTGCGGGACCCGCGGGGCGTCGCCCCTGCTCGTCGCGACGCCCCCTGCGGGACCCGCGGGGCGCCGTCAGAGCCTGCAGCAGCAGCCGCCGCTCTACCAGCAGCAGCAGCCGCCGCCGCTCTGCAGCAGCAGCCGCCGCCGCCCTGCAGCAGCAGCCGCCGCCAGGCCTGCAGCAGCAGCCGCCGCCAGAGCCTGCAGCAGCAGCCGCCGCCAGAGCCTGCAGCAGCAGCCGCCGCCAGAGCCTACAGCAGCAGCCGCCGCTCTACCTGCAGCAGTTGCCGCTGCCGAGCCTGCAGCAGCAGCCCCTGGAGCAGCCAGTCACTGCAGCAACCGCCCCTGGAGCAGCCCGCCACTGCAGCAGCCGCCCCTGGAGTTTGCCCGCCTTTGTTCGAGAGTGTGGGGGTGACGGGTATGGGGGTGCTTCGTGTGCGTCGTCCCTTCCTCCTCCTTCGTCTCCCACTGCTGCAGCTGCCGCTGAGGGGGGTGGATGTGTGGGAGCCGAGGGGACTGGCGCTAGGGGGGGTGATATGGGAGTGGAGCTAAGGGTGGACCAAGGGGTGTGTGTCGAGGGGTGTGGGACTGTTGGGGGAGGTTGAGCGGAGACCGCCGTCGTGTCGTCTACAGCGCCTGTACTCCGGGGCGCTCAATCCCGGTAGCTCAGAGAGCCGGTTGCACCTGTCGCCCGTGGGTCCGTTGCTCCTGCCGCTGCTGTTCAGCCGCCGAGCCTGTTACTCCTGTATTCCGGGGCCTTTCTCCTCCCGGTAGCCACCAGCGTTGCACCAGAGCCGTCTGTTGCCCGTGTGTCTGCAGCTTCAGTCGTCGCCTCCACTCTTCTCTCATCTCGCCAGCCCTCCTCCTCCTCACTTGCCCTCTGTGACTGCCTCTAGCTCTGCTTACAATTTATAAACTATTGGTTCTTGAACTTGTGCTCAGAATGTGTGGTGACGTCGTGATCCACCCTGAGCTTGTACTGCTTTGTGTGCTCTGCTGATTACACCCCACTTTGGCTATGGGGGTGTGTCAGAATGTTATTTGTCTAGCCTGCAGTGGGGTGCTCAATAGTGAGTACAACCCCTTAGGGTTTGCTATTTGTGTGTTCTGCTGCTTGCTAGTCACCATTCATTCTTCGTTCCAATTCTCCTTCGTAAACCCTAACTCCTAGTTCTAGAGCACACCCACCTACCTCCTAGTGTGGGCCTAGGCTACTAAGCCTAGGCCCCACACCTACGATTCTAACAGAATGTACCTGAGTCATTGTATGGAACTCCCTCTAACCCGTCCTTCTCTTTGCGTTGTCTGCAGCAGGTGTGGTGGTCCGTGCACAAGAGAATGGATGGATGGATGAAGGTCTTGTGCAGCACTGGATCACCTAGGTCATTGTGCCGTTTCTGAAGCCCATTCGAGAGGGAACTGGACGTCGCCGGGAGGCCTTAGTGGTGCTGGAATCCTACCGCGGCCACTTGACCGAAGCCGTCGGTCAGACCATACGCATGTTCAAGCTAACGCGGGTGGTCATCCCGAGGGGATGCACTCCGCTTCTGCAGCCGCTGGACGTGTTTGTGAACCGCGCGTTCAAGGCCGGTGTGTGTCATCCCTACGACACTTGGTTTGAAGATGTCAATATCAATACGAAAACGCATGCAGGTGAGTTTGTGCTATGCTTTCTGAGCGCACTGTTGTGCAAGGATGCCTATGCATTGCATGTTACAACTCGTGCTTGCCATGCCCACTCCCTCAAGGAACCTGCAGAAGCCTCCTGCGGCAACCATTCTAACATGGATCGACGAGTCTTGGCGAGAGGTTCCAGAGGAGCTCGTCAAGAAGTCGTTTGTCACCTGCGGGATCTCCACCAGCCTCGATGGCAACGAAGATCACCTCGTCCTTGCCCACCTGCGGGACAAGGGTGAGGTGGAAGTGCTGGAGAATGTCAACGAGTTGGTTGACGACGAGGTCGTCGTCAACCCCTATTACGCGGAAGCCCGCGTGTCGTCCGAGGTGTTGTCCGCGTGTCGTTCGAGGTGTTGCAGGCGGAGGCGGATGACGACGCCTGGAGGCGGAGGAGGATACAGAGGAGGCGCAGGCGGAGGAGGCAGAGGCGGATGGGGACGGGGATGCAGAAGAGTGGAGTTGTGCCGGCTCTGATTGGTGGCGCCCCGAGCGCTTTGACGTAGAGGAGGTTGAGGAATGGCATGCTGGGGACGATGATGTCTTGGGTAGCAACTTGTTCCCTCATTACTCACTTGTACCGTGAGGGATGTGTTAACGATGTCAACACGAAAATCTAGGTTGTTTGTTTGTTTGGTTGGTTGGTTGCTTGGTTGTTTCTTTGCCCGTTAGAGGGGTTTTTATAGGTTTGGGTTTTGGCGAGTGTTTCTGATCTCGTCAAATTCATTTTTTCCGCCAAACCCAGCGAGCCCCTCAATTTCTCCCTGGTGGGTGTGTCACACTTCGAAAGTCCCGGATTGCACCTGAGCTACCTTCAAAGCTTGCACAGGCCACTTCGTCAAGTTTTAGAAACTTGACCCCGGCGGTCCGCAATTTGGGCCACGGGCTTTAATGTGTAAAAGGTTATTCCTGGAGCAGCTGTCAAATTTTAGCGACAATGGCACTTTTGCCGTACATAGCAACTCCCTCGGGTCTTATACAGGATCAGCCCAAAAGGGGGGTATAGTAGAAACGAGGTCCGCTATAGCACCCTGTATGCTGAGCACGCTCACAGCTCTGATAGATGGATGATCCAAGGGCCGATACGCTTGCTCAGCACCACAAACATGATCCGTCCTTTGAAACCACATTAAAGCCCAAGACCTGAATTACTCAACGGGGGTCAACTGAGTTTTTGTAGGTTCGGCGGGCTGCCAGTTGGAGGTTCGGATGGGTTGAGTGACACGCGAAAAAACAAAACCACCTTGCGACTGAAAACAGTTCGCCACAAACTGTGCACTTGCTGATTGGTTGGAACAAACATGGCACACGGCCCATCTTCCCAAGTTCGACTCACCTGAGAAGCACGCGAAGGGAAAGTGTGCACAGTTTGAACAGGCAAACTCAGGCACTCGAACAAACATAACTACTCCTAAGTCCCCTTCAACCAGGCGCCACCTTAGCTTCTAGAAAAACGAGGAGGAGCCATTAGGAGCGAATGTCCTAATCGATGGACCCGGAAAGGCGCGATTTTTAGGGTGTTGAGGACACACACATAGGGAACAGGGCGGACGTATGAGACGGGGCGCCCCACATAGCCTTGTTACGCCACCACTCGGTGCAGCTTAGATTCCCACGCGCTCGAGGCGCCCCCAGCATCAAGCCTTCCTCCCTGCCCCTCACGTGGGCCCTCCCCGCCGTTTGCGAGCGCCGGCCATTCACATAGCGCATGGTGAGAAGCCTCCCGTCGGGCTCATCTCAGCCCCCCGTCGCCCACATTTTCAGCTTCCCGTCGCCCACATTTCAGCTTCCCGTCGCCCACATTTCAGCTTCCCGTCGCACGCATTTCAGCGGCCCGCGGCACGCATTTCAGCTTCCCGTCGCACGCATTTCAGCTTCCCGTCGCACGCATTTCAGCTTCCCGTCGCACGCATTTCAGCTTCCCGTCGCCCACATTTCAACTTCCCGACGCCCACATTTCAGCTTCCCGTCGCACGCATTTCAGCTTCCCGTCGCACGCATTTCAGCTTCCCGTCGCACGCATTTCGCGGCCCGTCGCCCTCGTATCCAATATTTCGAGACGCCCACACTTCCCGAGTCTGGTCGCCCTCCATTCCCTTCCCGAGAACCCTCATTACCGGACCCGTCGGCCACAAATCCCTTCCCGTCGCCCCATTTCCCTTCCCGTCGCACTCACTTCCGTTTCTGTCGCCCTCGTTTCCCTTCCCGTCGCCCACATCACCCTTCCCGTCGCACTAATTTCCCGTCCCCTCTCACACATTTCCACCCCGTCGCCCTCGTTTCCCTGCCCTTCGCACTAAATTCCATTCCCGCCGCACTCATGGCGTCCCCCTCGCCCACATTTCCCTTCCCGTAGCCCTCATTTCCCCTCTCGTCGCCCTCGTTTCCCTGCCCATCGCCCACATTTCGCTACCTGTCGCTCACAATTCCCTACATCCCCCCTTCCTCCCATCCGCCCTTCCCCTCGTCCGCCCTTCTCTCACATCCTCTCTCCCTCTCATCCGCCCCTCCTGTCGTCCTCATTTCCACTCGTCATCCCTACCCTTCTTTCGCCACGCGCCCTCATCCGCCCTCCCCCTCATCCGCCCTCCCCCTCGTCCGCCCTCCCTCTACGGGGGCCTTCTTCTCGTCCTCCCTCCCCCTCATCCGCCCTCCCCCTCATCCGCCCTTCATCTCATCCAACCTTCAATGCATCCCCCCTTCCTCTCATCCTCCTTTCCTCTCATCCGCCCTTCCTCTTATCCTCCTCTCCTCTCATCCGCCCTTCCTCTCATCCTCTCACCTTCTTATCGTCTCTCCCTCACATCCTCCTTTCTCTCATCCACCCTTCTTCTCGTCCTCCCTCCCCATCATCCGCCCTCCCCCTCATCCGCCATTCATCCCATCCGCCCTTCCCCCCATCCGCCCTTCATCTCATCCTCTGTTCCCCTCTTCCCCCCTTCCTCTCGTGGTGGTTCCCTCTCATCCCCCCTTCCTCACGTCCTCCTGTCCTCTCATCCGCCCTTCCCCACGTCCTCCCTTCCTCTCGTCCTCTCTCCCCTACTTCCGCCCCCCCCCCCCCCCACCGCCCTCCCTATCATCCACCCTTCCTCTTGTCCACCCGTCTTCTCGTCCTCCCACCCCCTCATCCGCCCTTCCTCTCATCCAACCTTCCTCTCGTCCACCCTTCCTAGCATCCTCCCTTCCTCTCATCCGCCCTTCCTCGCATCCTCCCTTCCTCTCGTCCACCCTTCCTCTCATCCCCTCCTGCTCTCATCCTCCCTTCGTCCCATCCGCCCTTCCTCTTATCCTCTCTCCTCATCCTCCCTTTCTCTCATCCTCCCTTCCTCTCCTCCTCCATTCCTCTCATCCCCCCTTCCCCACATCCTCCTTTCCTCTCATCCTCCCTTCCTCCCATCCGCCCTCATTTCCCTTCCAGTCGTTCCTCATTTCCCTACCTGTCGCTCCTTAAAACTGATTCCTCCATTCCAATCTTTCCTCCTTCAACCCTCTGTCCTTGCCTCCTCATTCCAGCACGCAGCCACCTTTCGGCCAGCAACACCACTAACCTGCGGGCATCTCAGCCACCCTGATCGCCAACCATCGCCCCACGTGCATGAGCCTGAACTTCCTGAGCCAGGTACGTGCTACCATCCTCACGGCCGTCCTCGTATGCCTCCATGGTGCTCATACAGGCTTGGGACGGGTTTGAGGGGCGTTCTTCGTTCTTGAGTGAAGGGGCCACCCTCCCCCACTACCGTCTCCCCTCTCACCCATTCCCTCTCCCCCTTTTTCCCGTCCCGGCCCCCGCCCCATCCCCTTCCCCTTGTCCAGCTCCCAATACTGGTTCAGTCCCGTTCCCCTCCCTTGCCTGTCCCATCCTCTCTCCTGTCCCACATTCCTATCCCCCCCTGCATGACCACAACGGAGAGCATGCTGCATATCTCTGGTGAGAGTGGCCGAGACCTCACACGGGAGGTGAGTCATTGCACTGTCTGCTCTTCATTGCTCATGCTGTCCGTAGTGCACGTTCCGCTCGCCGTGGCTGCTCTGTCCGCCCCACATGCGCTACACTGAGACACACTCCCAAGTGTACTGTCTGGCCTGATACATACACTATGCACCTCTTTTTGTAATCTTGTTTCCGTAGTACCTGTCTCCACCTCTCCACTTTTTGTGTACTTGTTTCTCCACCTGTCTCGACCCTCCCGCCTCTCTTTGTGCTCAGATCCGCAAGGGCTAGGGCAAGCAGCGTTGGACATCAGCCAAGTCACCATCAGCCCCATTCATCACTCATCCTACACGTGTTCACGTGTAACTCTAAGCGTGTGCTTGTCTCGCACTAATACCGTGCACGTGAGCATGCCGTTTTTTTCACAAGTTGTGGAGGCAAATGACGCAACGCGCTCCCCGATGGCTAGAAGCTGAGAAGTGAAACATGTCCTTCCTCATCAAAAAACATACCTAGGGCTTCTTCATTGATCAATCCATCATAGCTGGATGGTCAGCCACCCACATGTCAAACTATTGCAGTCTGTGTAAAAAAAGGAACACTTGTACAGGGTGTATCGTACCCGATAACCATCCCTCCCTTGCTAACAATCAGTAAATTCCAGACTCTTGCGTGGCCACATTGACAATTGACCTAGCATCGTTTGACCTCATCCCAAAATCAATCTCGTCAGGGATTCTCCACATCGCCGACCCCTCTCCTCCTCATCATCCTCGGAACCCTCCTCCCCAATCCTGAATCCAAGCGTCAGCCGTCTCCGAGGAGTACGTCTCCATGAAGACATGGCTGATGAGGTGGACTGGTTTAGAGGGTGAGAAAAGGGAACATCAGGCAGAGAACAACAAGGGAGAGGGAGGGGTTAGGGAGTGAATGGGTTGGGAGGGGGGAGGGGGGGGGGGGGGAACAGAGGATTACGCAGGTCATTGAATTGTGTTGGCTGTGTAGGGTAGGGTGGGCAGGTCAGGCACTAAACAACAGGTCCGGAAGCACCCTGCACTGTCAGAGTGGGGCACGGGAGGTGAGGAGAGAGGAGCACCCTGCCCTGTCCGAGTGGAGCACGGGAGGTGAGGAGAGAGGAGCACCCTGCCCTGTCAGAGGGGAGCACGGGAGGTGAGGAGAGAGGAGCGTCCCACATTCCAGAGTGGAGCACGGGAGGCGAGAGGAGAGGAGCACCATGCCCTGTCAGAGGGGAGCACGGGAGGTGAGGAGAGAGGAGCACCCCACCTGTCCGAGTGGAGCACGGGAGGTGAGGAGAGAGGAGCACCCCACCTGTCAGAGGGGAGCACGGGAGGCGAGAGGAGAGGAGCACCATGCCCTGTCAGAGGGGAGCACGGGAGGTGAGGAGAGAGGAGCACCCCACCTGTCAGAGGGGAGCACGGGAGGTGAGGAGAGAGGAGCACCCTGCCCTGTCAGAGTGGAGCACGGGAGGTGAGGAGAGAGGAGCACCCCACCTGTCCGAGTGGAGCACGGGAGGTGAGGAGAGAGGAGCACCCCACCTGTCCGAGTGGAGCACGGGAGGTGAGGAGAGAGGAGCACCCCACCTGTCCGAGGGGAGATGGCGAGGGGAGGTGATAGGAGCACGCGAGGGGTGGCGAGAGGAGCGCGCAAGGTGAGGAGAGAGGAGCATGCGCGGGGATGCGAGAGGAGAACGAGTAGGGGAACAGAGAGATGAACGCGAGGGGTGGCAGGAGGAGCACACGCGGGATGATGGGTGGAGGCCACGAAATGAGGCAAGACCCTCATTTCGCTATAAAGGCGAGAGGAGGACGCGAGGGGTGGCGAGAGGAGCACGCGAGGGGTGGCGAGAGGAGCACGCGAGGGGTGGCGAGAGGAGCACGCGAGGGGTGGCGAGAGGAGCGCGCAAGGCGTGGAAAGAGGAGCATGCGCGGGGAGGCGAGACGAGAACGAGTGGGTGAACAGAGAGGAGAACGCGAGGGGTGGCAGGAGCCGCTCATGCGGGATGGTGTGGGGAGGCAACGAAATGAGGCGAGACCCTCATTTCGCTATAAAGGCGAGAGGAGCACGCGAGGGGAGGCAGTTGAGTGGGATGGAAGGGAGCGAGGGGGCAAGGATGAGTGGAGGGGGACAAGAGAAGCAGAGGGGGGAAAGAGAAGCAGAGAGCGAAAGAGGAGCAGGGGGGAAAAGTGGAGCAGGGCAGAAAAAGAGGGGGAGAGGGGGAACAGAGGAGCAGAGGAGCACGCAAGGTCAGGAGAGAGGCGCTCGCACGGTGAGGAGAGAGGCGCACGGTGAGGAGAGAGGATCACGCGCGGGGAGGAGAGAGGAGCACGCGCGGGGAGGCTTGAGGACGCCCTTTGGTGAGGAGAGAGGAGCACGTGCGTTGAGGCGAGAGGAGCACGCAGGGTGAGGAGAGAGGGGCACTTGCGGGGAGGCGAGAGGAGCACGCAGGGTGAGGAGTGAGGAGCACGCGCGGGGAGGCGAGAGAAGCACGCAAGGTGAGGAGGGGGAAGCACGTGCGGGGAGGCGAGAGCCGCACGCAGGGTGAGCAGAGAGTCGCACACGTGGGGAGGTGAGGAGAAAGGAGCATGCGCGGGGAGGGGAGGGGAGCAAGCATTGGAGGTGAGGAGAGAGGAGCTCGCGAGGGGAGGCGAGTGTCGCACGTGCGGGGAGGTGAGAGGATGCTGCGCGGGGAGGCCAGAGGGGCGCGCGCGGGGTGGAGGGAGAAGCACGCGCGGGGAGGCGAGAGATGCACGCGCGGGGAGGCGAGAGATGCACGCGTGAGGCGGCGAGAGGAGGACGAGCGGGGAGGTGAGAGGAGCCCGCGCATGGAGGCAAGTGAAGCGCGCGCTAAGGCGAGAGGCTCACGCGAGTTGGAGTAGTCGAGGAGCACGCGCGGGATGCTGAGGGGAGGCCATGCGGGGAGGCAACAGGCGCGCGCGCTATAAAGGCGCGTGCCGCACGCTAGGGATGGTGAGAGGAGACCGCCGGGGAGGCAGCAAATGCGCGCGCGGGGAGGCAAGAGGATGCCGCGCGGGAGGCGGGAAGAGCGCGCGCGGGGTGGAAAGAGGATGCCGCGCTGGTTCGGGGTAGGAGCGCGCGCGGGGAGGAGAAACGTGGGCGTGCAAGTCAGGATAGTGGGAGTGGCGGGGACACGACTTACGGAGAAAGTGGCTGGTCGCGGAGTGGTGGACGGGGCGTCGGAATGGGGCCCGACGGCCTGTGCGAGGAAGCGATGGGAGTGGTGATGGCGACGGGGACACGGGGGTCGCGAGGGTGGCGGTGCGTCAAGGCTGAGGACGATGTGAGGGGACAAGCGAGGTTGTCCAACTAACATAGTTTTGCGCGGCCTATCGTAATATGCGCGACACGCCTTTCACGCTGCCCTATTGGCGTTTCTCTCGTGTTGCAACGGGGCTGCAGGTAGGAATTTACCATCTGACTGAACTGGCGTCCGGCGTAGTAGCCTCCCGCACGTTCCTGAATTACCAATTTCTAGGCAAACTGTGCACAGGCAGTTCCCTTCTCCGCTCAGGAAGGGGTGCTTGGGTCTCTCGCTAGGTCTTCGTGTTCTGATCTACGACGCAGCCTTTTTGGCATGCGACGTTTTCAGGTAACCATTTTGGCTCGGGAGGTCAACTTTGGGTTCGGTAGGCAAACTGTGCACACTTTGCCCTTTTTTTTTGTAATTCAGTTCTTGGGCTTTAACTTACCACTACTATCCCAATAGCTGCATTTTATTATAGCAGTTGCACGCCTCCGAGGTCGTCAGTGTGTGTTAACTTCTTCTCCTCGGTTTCTGGGAAGCACCTAAAAAACCCGCTCTGCTTAAAAAACCACCTCTCCTCTGACCATCTCTGGCAACGTTGGCAATGGGAGCTGTTTCAGTCAACTCACACCCAAGACTTTTCACCACCTTCCGAGCCAGCGCAGCTGGTCCTTCCAAACCTGAGGTTCTAGCACCATCAGGCTAAAACGCTCTGCCCACACTGTTGCCAAAGCATCCTTGTCTCGCCTTCCATCGCTATGGTTCCAAAATCATTAGGCTAAAACCTCTGCCCACCCTGCTGCCAGAGCATCCTTGACTGTCAAGCCCGATCCTGTGATGTCATCCCTGTGATTTCAGAACTGTCAATCCCGATCCTCGACGGAACCTGCTGCTTCTCTGCCTGGTCCTTACATACTAGAAGTTTTGGAACCACAAAGCCCACTGCTGCCAGAGCATCTCTGTCTAGCCACAAGACCCGTTGAACTGCTGCAGCTCAGAACCGCAAGGCCTGCTGCTCTTTCTCTCCCGGCTGCCAGAGCATCTCTGTCTGGTCCATAGAACTGCTGCAGTTCAGAACAGACCCTGCGGCTTATGCGCGCGGAACAATGTCCCTGAATCAAACACACAAGGGTCCCGGGAACAAGGTCCAGTATCTCAGATCGCCATTTTGCCCTTTGGCATGGCTGTGCCTGGCGGGATTACCAGCAATGGAACTGCCACCAGCAGCAGCAGGGGAAGTTGCGGTAGCAACAGCTGGAAGGAAGCTGCGGTAGCAACAGCAGCAGCATAAGCTTGCATACAAACTCCGTCAGTAACCAGACAGAAGACACTCTGTGAATGCCCTCAATGGGAAAAAAACTTCGGGTCAGCGATTTCAGCGCCTTCAAGACCCGCCAAAAGTGACCCACAAAGCCTCGTAGAATACTTTCTCGCGAACTGAACGCACCCTTGGGAACGCTTCCACAAAGACACGATGGATCGGTTGATGCTTCCTGCTTCACTGAGTGATGTGCTTTCAGCTTCATTGCATTGTGGGTAAGCCACAGCCTGAAACAGTGAGTGAGTTGATACTACCATCCTCGTTCTTGTACCATTTTTACCTCCCCTCGTTCTTAAATTCCGCGTCTCCTCGATTCAGCTTCATTCCTCTCATCTATCCTGCCATTCTCCTCTATCCTTCACTCCCCATGTCCGCTGCTGCTGCTACTGCTGCTGTCCTCCCTGCTGCTGCTCCCGCTGCTGCTAGCAATGCTGCTACTGCTGCTGTAGACCAAGTTTGCAGCCGCTGCTGCTTCGGCTGCTGGTGCGGCAGCTGCTGCTGCCGCTGGCGGTGATGCTGGTGCTCCTGCTACTTCCGCTGCTGGGGCTGCTTCCAGTGATGCCACTCCCTCTGCTTCCGTCCCTTCATTCACCGCCCCGTCTGTCGAGGCTTTACCAGGCGAGAGGTCTTGGCGGCAGATGGGGCAGGTGGTTTTGGCGGCGAGCCAGAGGTCGATGCAGTCGGCGTGGAAGCCGTGTGCGCACGCCGGCACCACCTTGATGCGCTCGCCCGCCGCGTACTCGCCCAGGCACACCGCGCACTCGCGCCGACACGCCCACGCCAGATTCGCGACCAGGGCCTCGCTGTCGCCGATCAACGAAGACACGAAGTCCTCGTCGCCTTGAATGGTTACCACGAATTCGCCTCGACCCGGACCCGTTTCGTAAGGGCTTTCTTTCGCCAAATCGTCGCCGCTGCTGTTGTTGTCTTCCCTGGTAGAGCAGCGAGAGATCGAAATGCCGGATCTGACGCCGTTGGTCTCTTCCCTGGTAGGGCAGCGAGAGATTCCGGATTTAACGCTGTTGATTTCTTCCCTGGTAGAGCAGCGAGAAATGCTGGATCTAACGCTGTTGGCCTCTTCCCTGGTAGAGCAGCGAGAGATCGAAACGTGGTCGTTGCTCGGTTGACGCGAGAAGCTCAACGATCGCGAAATTTCGCGGCTGATCCGGCGAAGGGAAGATAGACCGGTTGACTCCGCTGTACTTTCGCGACTGCCGGATTTGTCGCCGCGAAAGGTGTACACCGGAAACGAGCGGATGATTGCTGGATCCAGGCCCTGCGAAGGCTTGGCGACCCTCGCGGATTCTCGAAGATTTCGCAGTCGCTCGGCCGCTGGATCTATATTTATGCACCACCCGAGCTTGCGGAAGACGTAAACGAGGATACTTGTAGCGAGAACAATAGCGATGAACGCCGCTACTGTCACGGAAATGAACACGACTGACGATCCTGAATCGATCGGCGCGCCGCATGGCGGCGGTGTCGGTGCTGACGTGGCATTGAGTGAGCCGCTTTGCAGCACCCCTGGGAATATGGATCCATTAAAGGAGCTTGATGGCGTGGAGGAGTCGCAGGGAGACATCTTGTCGAGCATGGATCGGGTCGACACTTCAGTGACTTCAGGACTCTCCGTCGTCTTCAGGAGTCTCCGTCGACTTCAAGGCTCGGTCGCGGATTCGCCGTAAGGAGCCGGTCCGCGTTACATATTGAGTCGCGGATCCAAAACGCTTGCCAAAAAGTGAGTAGCGTCCGTAGTTCGAAGCGACGCGAAATGGCGCACGTAGTGAAGGCGGTTGGAGGACGGCTCTGAACACGCGAGAACGGATCTTTCATCTAACCAGAGTCTAAATCTCAACCTACTTGGCGAGTTCTTAGCTTCAAGTCACCTGATCGAGTCAGCTTGAAAGTGGACAGGGGGGAAATGCTGTGATGTCACAATCAGAAAACTATCACTTGTCTGATCGAAGCCCCGAAATGAAATGTAGCCGTCATAAGCCAGGCACGTATGCTATGATCGCGGAGGGATTGTGTGAACGAAACGGCGCGGTTGGCAGTTTTTCAGGAATCAGGAAGCCATGGATTTAGGAACAAGAAACTGCCAGTTGCAAGAGATTTTGCCTTTCGGCTCTCTGCTGCAACCTCTTGCATCAATCCAGCCTTACACCAATCCAGCCTCAAGCAAATCTCGATGTCCGCGGTGAAGTTCGTTCTAAAGGGTTTCCTGTAGTTACAATACGGTGTACATTGGTCTGTCCAGAAGGGCTGCACTGTAAGTGTCGATTTCATTGCAAGATTCCAGCTGAGGGGTGCGGTGTGGCTAGTTTCGAGGCTGGAGGCGCTTCAGTCAATCTGACACGTGCTCTACAACAAGTGGCGCATAAACAATGAAGGGCCTTAATACTACAGTAATAGGGCTGACACATGTACAGCTCTCAATGGCTTGCTTGATGCTTTATCAGCTGGGCGGCACCAACCACGTGCTAACCGGGATTCCTGGTGCTTTCACGAGATTGACGGTTGGCTGCGCCCACCTCAATCTCAAGGCGCCACGATGACGTAAGGGTAGCATTTAGGGTGCGACTGAATGGCACGGATTGGTTGGTTGCGGCGCTGCTCCGGTCAAGAACAGAGCATTATGTCGGTCAATACGGTATGTCGTTTTACTTGGTTAAAAGCGTATGTAGTGTGGTTCCATAAGTTTATGTGGAAAGGTTGGTATCTACCTCTATCAGTTATAGAGGGAAATGGACACAGAATCAAACGTTCCTACTTTGCATAGAGACCATGGCCTGTTGCCCGCCTCATTGATTACCGTACTATTGTACGCACAGCATTCCACATGCAGCTCCTACTCTATCCATTAGTTACCGCAAACATGCAAATGTAAAGAATAATGTAAAATTTTAAAAGTACGATGCCTTCACAAGTTGCAGAAAGCAAGCTTTCACAATGCCAGATTTGATCCACGGTTGTTTCCTCATGTCTGTATCCATTCAAAACGACTGAAGGGGTGGCCAGGTCCTGCATTTACAGTTCATGTATAGTGACTCAGGACGGTTCCACAGTGGAAAACGGTTTTAGAGGTTTACCATTTTGCACCGTAGGGCATTGATCTACGCCACAGAGAAAGCACAGGACACGGACGACGTGAACTCACCCTAAAGGATTTCGGGCTTACACCATCAGTTGCGGATAACCCCAACGACAGCAGAAATCAGTATCAGTTGTAGCCATTCTGTTTGTGATCTGCTAAGAAGCCTCCTAAGAAGCGGAAAAGGGCAATCACCAGAGACCTCTGTCCGCTCCATCTATCTCCTCTGGGATGCCCAAGCCGCACTTTGTGCCGTCACCAGGGTTGACGTGTAACATAACCCAGTCGGCTACATTCGAGCTCAGTCGTTTCTCAGTCTACCTCTGCCTCCTCTCTTCTTCTTCCTGAAGCAATACGAACTGGTCCTCCAGCCCCCCTGTCCACCACAGCTGCTTCTGCTGCCCGTACTGGTGTCAGTACTGTCCCTGTTCCTCCCCCCCCTGTTTCTTCTGCCGTTGCCCCGCTGCTAATTATAACTTCAGACATAGAACCCCCTTCTTGAGTGATTTGGATGGTGGAGTCGGTGGGAGCAACGGCGGCTTTACCAGGCGAGAGGTCTTGGCGGCAGATGGGGCAGGTGGTTTTGGCGGCGAGCCAGAGGTCGATGCAGTCGGCGTGGAAGCCGTGTGCGCACGCCGGCACCACCTTGATGCGCTCGCCCGCCGCGTACTCGCCCAGGCACACCGCGCACTCGCGCCGACACGCCCACGCCAGATTCGCGACCAGGGCCTTGCTGTCGCCGATCAATGAAGACATGAAGTGCTCGACGCCTTCGATGGTTACCACGATTTCCCCTCCAACATTTGAACCAGTTTCATTGGGGCTTTCTTTCGCCAGATCATCTCCGTAGCTGCTCTTCTCCTCCCTGGTTAAGCAGCGAGAGATTGAAATGTGGTCGTTGCTGATTTGACGGGAGGAGCTCAAAGATTGTGAGACTTCGCCACTGATCGCGTGAAGGGAAGCTAGCCCGGTTGACTCGGTGGTGCCTTCGCGACTGGCCGATTTGTCGCCGCGAAACGTGTAGACCGGAAAGGAGCCAACGAGTATTGAATCCAGGCCCTGCGAAGGCTTGGTGACTCTCGCCGATTGGCGAAAATTTCGCAGTCGTTCGGCCGCTGGATCTACATATGCACACCACCCGAGCTTGCGAAAAACATAGACGCCGATCCCAGTAGCGATTACAATAGCGATGAACGCCGCGACTGTCACGGAAATGAACACGACTGACGATCCTGAATCGATCGGCGCGCCGCATGGCGGTGGTGTCGGTGCTGACGTGGCATTGAATGAGTTGCTATTCAGCATCCCGGATCCGTTGAAGGAGGTTGATGACGCGGAGGAATCGCAGGGAACCATCTCTCCGTATAAGAAGAGACTTCCAGACTCCGTCAACTTCGTTGATGGTCCGCCGTGAGACGCGGGTCCGAGACGCTGGTCCGTGAGACGCGAATCGGAGACGCGGGTCCACCGCGCTTCCTTGAACCCGGCGTCCGTAGTACACAGCGTAGCGAAGCGGCGCACTTGTGAAGGAAGTCGAATGACGGCCTTAAGACAGCGATAACATCCCTTATTTCCCCACCACAGTCTCGATCTGAACCTACTTTGCGAAGTCGTAGTTTCAAATAATCTGACTGGAGCCAGCGTGAACTCGGACGGGGCAACTTGAAGATGTTTCGCTCGCGCATAAAGAATTGGAAACTATCGCTCGTCTCTTCTAATCCTGCTACGGAGATAAAGCCGTCATGTGAACGGCACGTGCGCAATGATAACGGAGGCATTGCGTGGACAGAACGGCCCTTTCCGCAGGTTCGTAGAGATGTGGGAGCTATAAATATAGGAACTGCTGACTGCCTAAAGCGAAAAACTTTTGCTACTGGCATGACCACTGCAAGCTGCTTGAGCAAATCTCAAGTCTGCGGTACCGCCAGTTCGTAAAGATCTCCTGCTGATAAACGCGATGCCTCCAGTGGCATCCCCTCTAGGTTCCACCAGAAGAGAGAGGAGAATTTCAAGGCTCGAGGCGCAGACCGTTTCGAGAGGGCTCAATCGGGGCGGCGCTTACGCATGTGTGACAGCTATGAATGAATGGCTCACCAGCTAGGTATAACTGGTCCACCACTAAACATCTTCAGCTGGCTGGGGTTCTGACCACAACGTGCTAGTTCGCGAGTCAAACTTTCTTCGACAATGCTGTACACTACGAGGTTTCCATTATCCTAATAGAGTGGCAGAGGGTGGTGTGATGAATTTCCCGACATTCCAACTGTCTACGATACCTACCGTGAGGCCTAACATGCAAAAGGCCTACCGTTCTTCGCTACCTTCACACGACACTTTTTGCCAAACCTCGCACAACTGAACTGGCCAAGTCGACCAACGCTTCGCAGCGGCGTATACGCATGTGCAGCTATGAATGGTACAGTACATCTTCAGCTGTCTGGGGTTCTCACCAGAACGTGTTAAAACTCAAGGCCCAAATTGCAAAGCGCGCGGGGCAAGATTACTAAAGTTGATGAGAGTGGTGTTCTGAGTGTTGCTTGGTTGCGAATTGTGGTTACGAGTAGTGCGATGCAATTTCATTGGCCAGAAAATTTTTGCCCAATAGGAGAGAAGGAAACACCAAGAATATTGAGAGTGCAATTTGGGACTCAGAACCAAGACCGAGTTGCTCCCTGGGGTTTGCTTAGTCAGCGAAAACTTCGAGGGAGAAATACGAAGCTGGGCGAGAAAGAAGTTATTGTACACCTGATGCTCATTAGACGCACCCAGCCTTTGCCATATCAAAGGGTGTGAAACCGTCACATGTTTTTTGCCTACTCGCCATGGACAAAAACGGGACTTTATTGGGTCCGTTGGTAATATCTCAGGAAGGGACGGATGGATGACAGCGTGATAAGCTGAATAATTAACGGCTGCGGAAAAAAATAGGTGCTTGTACCTTGGGTGCAATTGGTCGTGATATATTGCAGATGAGAGAAGGAAGGTGGATGGGCAGAGAAAATACACGTGCATTACCCGAGCATCATTTGTACAAGGTTTCCAGTATCCTAATAGAGTGGTAGAGAATGGTGTGATGTTTTTTTCAACATTCCAACTGTCTACGCGCCGACCGTGTACAAGGCCTACTGTGTAAGGGGCCTACCGTTATTCGCTTGTTACCACCAAAGGCGTTTCGTCGCCTTCACACGTCACTTTTTTGCCAAACATCGCACAACTGAATTAGCCAAGTCGGCCAACGCTTCGGGACTAGCCCAAACTTCAATGTTAGGTTCGCACTAGCTAGCTCGCGGGCAACACGTTGCCGTTTGTTGTTTCGCTATGAATATTCGCTCATACGGTCGCTTTCATTTTATACTCGTTTTGACCTGTTAATGCAATCTTCATTCGCTTGTTTGATTGCGCCCGTAAGATATGGCTATCATAGCATAGCCACTTCGCGCCTAAAACACTTGTCTATTAGGGTCACTTACCTTCGGTCTGCACATTTTTTTTTCCAGAACCAGCAACCCAGCTTTTGGATTTTCACTCGAAGGGACATACACCACTCATAAGCACGTGTAGCTATGACTCTGCCTAGGACCTAAGCCGGACAATACCCTTAAAAATGGCAAACCATCTTAATCATGCCAACCTCTCGCAGGACAACTGCGAAAACGGCAACTACACGAAAACAGAGAAAATATCGCGGCTTTAACGGCGGAACGCAAATCTTTCAGCGCATCGTAGATGTCAAAGGAAACGGCCCCGCCCTCGCTTGAGCGTACCCGATCTCACTGTCGACGGGAAATTCGCGTCGGATTGGTCGACGAAACGGGCTTCTGCAGTTCGGTGGAAGTTGCCGTCGAGCAGGCTCTGCTCGACAGAATCTGGTCGACGAGCTCTGCGCGACGAGCTCTGGTCGACGATCTCTGCGCGACGATCTCCTGTCGAAGAGCGCCGGTCGACGAACTCTGGTCGATGAGTTCTGGTCGAGGAGCTCTGCTCGACGAACGCTGTTCGACCGAGCAGAGTCGAGCTGATCGACCGAAGTTGCAGAGTTGTGCGAAACTCTGCGAAGGTTGGCGAAGTTCTACCTGCGAAACGGCATTACGTGGTCGACGGCGCGCGCCTGGCGCAACCGACGAACACGTTTTCTACCTGGCACCTGCGCAATGTGCCTGACGGTGAAACCGCCAACCTGCACCTGCCTGTTAGGTGCGCACATCTGCGCAGATAGACAACCTGCGACTGCATATAGTTACCTGCGACTGCAGATAGTCACCTGCGACTGCAGTGCTGGCAGACCGCGCGCAGTGCAACGCTGGCAGATTACTTTGCTGCAGCGTTGGCAAGCCGCTCTTCTGCTGCACTGGCAGTGTTCGCCCTTGCTAGGTGTTGCATGCCATTCTAGTCATATCCTTCTGCATGCCTTCATTGTATTCTATTCATTCCTATCTACTTTTTATTGTAAGTTGTTCTTTCAATTTATCCTTAGTGGAATTGCTGCCAAACTTTTTCTGTGAACACAACAAGCAGTAAGAACGCTAGCAGAGCGCTACATTCACTCGCACAACCACGTGCCCTCCTCCGTAGTCCACTCCCATTTTGTAATGACTCTCCGCAGTAGACTAGGCAAGACTGCATAGACTAGGAACACTAGCACTGGCTGGACCAACGCTGTAACGACACGAGAATATGGGACAATGCTAGTGTGCTGCTATTAATGGCGTCGTGCGCAAGAAAGCGTGCGAGGACCACGGGATGACACACCCCGAAGTAACGACCGAAGCATGAGACCAACGTCGCCTTATTGTTACGACGGAGGCCAAGGAATCAATGTTCTCTCGCCAATGCAATTCTTGTTGCAGCACCTGCCATGCTTTGAATCGATTCAACGGAATGGTCTGATGGTTCAGAAGTGGATTTTCATAATGAACATGTTTTTTAATGCCAATTACGTTGCATCGAATGCTGCGAAAATATGATATGTCGTGTCGTTTCCATGGACTAGTAGCGTGTCTTTGTGACAAAGTCGATGGACTACGGGCCTCTACTGTTGAGATAGCTAGGCAAGGTGAGTTGACTATCGAGAGAAATTTTACAAGTAGGAAAACCCTAAGGGGTTATCCCCTATAACATCTACCCCACTACAGCCTACCAATATGTATCACATATATATATCATTTGACACACCCCCATAGGCAAAGTGGGGGAGAGCAATGGGTCACAAGACCAGTCAAGAGAAACAAAACAAGCTCAGGGTGGATCACAACGTCACCACACATTCTGAGCACAAGCAAATGGCCACAAGGCCAGTTCACATGCAGAGATATATATGCAGCAATGACAGTACAGTGTCGAGCTACCTAGCAAGAGCCAGCATGCAGGTATATAGGTATATAGATCACAGTACAAGCAAAGACTACAGCAAGTGTGGAAGCATAGGCACAAGGCCTAACAGAGTACAAAAGCGCTGATGATCACCAGACGGAAGTGCCTTGGTGAATATATCAGCAGTGTTGGCCCGAGTGGCCACGTAACGAAGACAAAGCTGGCCTCGCTGCTGCAACTCTCGAGCCAGGAAGTAACGCAGAGCAATGTGCTTCGTTCTGTGCTCCAGTCTGTGCTCCTCACACAAGGCAATGGCGGCCTTGTTGTCAACGTACAGCACTGGAGGAGAACGAGGCTGCTCTCCCAAGTCAGTCAGCAGGTAGGTGAGCCAGCGTAACTCCTGTGCAGCCATGGCGGTGGCGTAGATCTCAGCCTCACAACTGGAGCCAAGAACTGAAGACGAGCGTGTAGAACGCCACGAAACTGAACCAGAGCCAAGGCTGAAGGTGTAACCCTGTGACGACCGCTGAGTAGCCAGGTCGTCAACCCAAGAAGCGTCTGAGTGCCCAGTGAGGACAACTGGGCTCGTCCCTCCAAGCACTAGCCCCATGCCTGATGTGCTGCACAAGTAGCGCAGTACCCTCTTAGCAGCAGCCATGTGCTCAGGTCGGTGTCGACCAGGAGCCACGTAGCGAGCGAGGAGACCAAGAGGGTACGCGAGGTCAGGTCGAGTGCAAGTCATCAGGTACATGAGGCAGCCGACTAGCTCTGGGTAAGGACCACTCGGCTCTACGGACTCGTCCGAAGGTGGAGCTGAGAGCGTGTGACCTGTAGCCAGAGGAGTGGCCTGTGCTGAAGACCAGGTGAAGCCGAAGCGCTGAAGGACCTGCTGCACCATGTGTGACTGAGTCAAGGTGATGGTGCGGCGTGCTCTGTCCCGGGTGATCTGCAAGCCAAGGTAGCTGCGCAGCTCACCCAAGTCAGTGCACGTGTGT